TGTCCTTTCATGATACACTGGATTAGCTGCTATTTGAAGTGCAGCTCTGTTGTCACAGTAAAGTTTTGCAGGCTTCAGACCCTTTATGCTAAGCTCTGTAAGCAAACCTTGCAACCAAACCAACTCAGAAGTGACCACTGCCATAGCTCTATATTCTGCTTCTGCCGAAGACCTTGCTACAACATTTTGTTTCTTTGATTTCCACGAAACCAATGAATCACCAATCTTAATGCAAAAACCTGTTACAGATTTTCTTGTCATCGGACATGATCCCCAATCTGAATCACAATAGGCTGAAAGTTGACAAATCGAAGAGGATTTTAACAAGATTCCTTGTCCTGGTTCCTTCTTGACATATTTAACTACTCTTAAAGCTGCCTCCATATGAGACCTCTTAGGTTGCTGCATGAATTGACTAAGAAGATTCACTGCATATGTAATATCAGGTCTTGTATATGTCAAGTAAATCAGCCTCCCAATAAGTCTTTGATAAACTGACTTTTCAACAAGATTATGTTCATCTTCATTATCCTGTTGCACAATCTTATCATAGTCCAAAGTAGTCAACTTCAGATTCTGCTCCAGAGGAGTAATAGCAGGCTTTGCTTCCTCCAAACCAGTATCTTTGATTAACTGTAGTGCATACTTTCTTTGATTCAAAAGTATGCCTTCTTTTGACCTCAATACCTCTATTCCTAAGAAATATTTTAACTCCCCCGAATCCTTCATCTTAAAATGACTATTCAACATTTGCTTCAATTCATCAATCAATTCACTACTATCACTGTGATTACCAAATCATCAACATAGACTAATAACAAGGCCATTTTACCTTGTTGTCTCTTGATGAACAATGAGTAGTCATACTTGCTTTGAACATAACCAGTCGAGATCAATGCCTCTGTTAATTTCAGATTCCACTGCCTGGAAGCTTGCTTGAGACCATACAATGATTTTTGCAGTCTACACACAATCCTCTCCCCCTGACTGCAAAAACCCTCAGGTAGTTGCATATAAATTTCCTCATAAAGATCTTATTGCAGAAAAGCATTGAATACATCCATTTGCAATAATGGCTAATGAAGAATAGAAGCAAGTGCTAAAATGGTTCGAATAGTTACCATCTTAACCACAGGAGAAAATGTGTCAACAAAATCAATTCCCTCCTGTTGATTATAGCCTTTAGCAACCAAGCGAGCTTTATATCTCTCAACCTCACCTGATGCTTTGTACTTAACTCTATAAACCCACTTACATCCAATAGGAATTTTTCCTGGTGGTAATGAACAATGGACCAAGTTCTATTAGACTCCAATGCATGTATTTATTCTTTCATAGCTTGAATCCAAAGTGGATCTTGAACAGCCTCAGAATAAGATTGAGGCTCAGAAATTTGAGATATGGAAGACAAGCATAATTGAGTGTGAATTGGTAAGTGAGAATAAGAAAGAGAACTGAAATTTGAAGAAGAGGATTGACAAGAGCAAACAAAGTTATTTAACCAAGTAGGAGGCTTAGATACTCTAGAGGATTTCCTAGAGGGAATAGGTGCACTTATTGAAGCAGAAGACTGAATTGAAGTCTGAGAGGTGTGTTCATCATTATCGGTACTCAATGCAGTAGGAGTAGTATGAAGAGAGCTAGAATGTTGAGGACTTGGAGTATTTAAAACTAGGAAATCATCATCATGAACAAGGGTAGTAGATGGGAAAAAGGTTAGATCAGAATTATAAAAGGAATAAGATTAATGAAATGGAAACTGATTTTCATGGAACTTTACATCCCTACTGATGAATAGTTTTTTAGAGTCAAGATTAAACAGCAAATAACCTTTTTGGGTTGGAGAGTATCCCAAAAGACAGAAGCAAAGACTCGAACATCAAACTTATCATGAGGAGCAAGATTTGTTGCAAAACAGAGACACCCAAAAACTCTAAAGTGTTCATAAGAAGGAGGTTTATGATATAGTAATTCAAAAGGAGTTTTCCAACATAAGACTGAAGAAGGCAACCTATTGATAATATAGCAAGCAGCTAACACACATTCTCCCCAGAATTTAAAAGGGACCCGAGATTGAAAACGAAGAGCCCGAGCAACTTCTAAAAGATGTCTATGTTTACGTTCGGCAACCCCATTCTGTTGAGGAGTGCGCACATAAGTACTTTGATGGATAATTCCCAAAGATACAAACAAGGGAGAACACTCATAATTGAAAAATTCACGACCATTATCACTACGAACAATTTTAACTGAGAGAGAAAACTGATTCTTAACCATTAAGATAAAGGTTCGAAGACAGGAAACAACATCATTCTTAAGCTTCAATAAGTACACCCAAGACATCCTAGTATAGTCATCTACAATAGTTAAGAAAAAACGTTGACCAGCATGAGTAGAGATTCGATAAGGCCCCACAAATCAATATGAATCAATGTAAATGGAGTGGTGGTCCTGGAATTGCTAACTGGAAATGAAAGTCTAGATTGTCTAGCTAAAGGACAGATAGAACAATGTTGAACCGATTCATGATGCAAATTCTCATTATGAACATAGGCAATTTTCTTAATTGAGAAGCTGGAACATGTCCTAAACGAGCATGCCAAAGACTTGTTTTATTTGCATCAACAGATTTACAAGTATTGAGAAAAGTTTCAGAAGGTGTATATGCATCAACAGAATGTTCTAAGGTAGAAATAGAAAAAACAGAATTTGATGGAAACCTGAGCATGTATAGACCTCTATATTCTTTACCAATCACCTCATCATGCCATTGCAAAGATCCTGCAATATGCAAAGGTCAGGATAGAACAAAACAACACAGTTTAATTCATGAGCCAGTCTTGAAACAGAAATGAGATTATGAGTAAAGTGAGGCACATGAAGAACATTAGATAATTGAAGACCATTTGGGAGCCTAACAGAACCTATATGTGTGACAACAAAGGATTTGCCAATAGGCAGCTGAACAAATTTAGGCGTGGATGTACAGGGCACAGGATTGAGCATGCATTTTAAGTCTGACAAAATATGGTCAGTTGCTCCAGAATCCAGAATCCATTCAATTGAATTATAAGTAAGAGAACAGAAGGTACCTGTCAGATTCACAGAGGAATCTGGAATGGAACTTTGAGCTGAAGATCAATTTAGAAGCCCCAGAAGCTGCTGATACTGTGCAGCTGTAAAAACTGGTGGAGCTGGAGTAGACACCTCACGATCAGAAGGAGTCACCATAGCAGCTTGGGAACCCTTCTTTTTGTTGAATTTAAAATCAGAAAGAAAGCCAATAAGGCGATAGCAATTCTCTTTTTTATGGCCCTTCACCTTACAATAATCACAGATGCCAGTAAAACGTCGACGGTTGCCAGAAGCATTGGAATACAGTGCTGTAGAGTCCAAGAGGGGGACAACGCCGGATAACTGAAGGCGATGAGATTCCTCCTGACTAATCATGGAATAGGCGCTATTGACCGAAGGTAAGGGCTGCATCAACAGGACTTGACTTCGAATGGCAGTGTACGAGTCATTCAGCCCCATGAGAAACTGGAACAATCTCTGTTGAGAAACATGGCATGAACTGGACTGAGCATTTTCACATGTACAGCTCGAGTAAGGTACCAGTGTATCATACTCGTCCCACAAAGCTTCAACCGTTAGAAATACGCAGAAATAGAAAGCTCACCTTGGACCATCGTGGTAATCTCACGATGAAGAAAAAATATGCGGGAACCGTCGACCTTGTCAAAACGCTCCTCGAGATCGGCCCAAACGAACTCTGCACTGGAGGCAAAAACAATTCCAGCAGACAAATCCTTGCTCACCGAATTGATGAGCCATGACAGCACAAGGGCGTTGCATCTGTCCCACTGTGCTTGAAGAGAGGACTGAAAATCATTGCGACAGCAGCCTCCATCGATGAACCCTAATTTGTTCTTGGCGAGAAGTGCAATTCGCATTGAGCGACTCCAGACGGTGTAGTTATCTGGTCCAGACAACTGATGCGAGATCAAGATCGTACCCGGAATGTCCGAGGGATGGAGATATAGCTGGTGATTAAAGTCAAGAAACGTTGATTCGTTCATCGGGGCTGTGGTGTGTGGCATCGTGACAGATGCGGCGATGAAGAAAGAGCAGAAAGGTAACCTACTTCAGGAATGAGGAAAAAGAAATGAAGCAATAACAGACCCGAGAAGGAGAAAAGGCCCAGTGAAATTGGGCTAGTCTGATACCATGTTAAAAAGTAATATAAGAGCTGTGGAAAAATTAATCTTCATTTCTCAACTCACAAATTACAATCTATTTATATATATATATATATATATATATATATATATATATATATATATATATATATATATATATAAACCTTTTTAATCTAACTGTCTAACTAACTTAAAACTACTTGTAATAAACTATTAACAGAAAAAACTGATTACAAACTCAACAGAGTTTTCAATCAGTCTCTTTCTGGATATTATTGTTGTGCCCCCATTTCCTTTACATTCTCTGCAAAACAATTGAATAAACAAAAGAGGAAAAGTAAAAACTTTGCTGAGTCAAAACACGTAACCAGAAAAATAAAGAGCTTAATCGCCTTTTTATTTACTGGTTTCATTGTATTTAACCATTTATAATATTCCCTCCAGTTTCTATTTCCCATGCCTCGGGGTTTCTGGGATTTCCAGGTGTTATTTGGTTCTTTCTCTCTTGCTTGAAAGTTTTAAACTTTTATGCGATTCAGCTTTTGCTTAATCCCTTCTTTTAAATTTTTTTGCTAGTTTTATCACTCAAGAACTCTTAATTGTTGGTGTTCAGCTATTGGATTGATCTTTTGATTGATCTGTTTTTCATTTAGTTCTGTCTCTAAGGTGAGTTCACAGTTCACACTTAATTTTTGCATTATACTTGTCCTTTTGGATCCAATTGTTTGTTTTGTTTTTAATTGGTTTCTTTTCTTTAACAGATTGAATATTGAGAAGAAATAGATTTATAGATAGTGGGAGATGGGACTTCAGAGATTGGAATTTGGAGTTATAGTTGGGAAATTCATGTTGATATCAGTTAAAATATGTTATAGATCGGTTTGGAATCATCCGTTTTTGGTTGTTTTAATTTGTTTTTTGATGCTTCTGTATAAATCATTTCCTTTGTTGTTTTCTGCTTTGGTTACTGCATCTCCTGTTTTGGTTTGCACTGCTGTTTTACTTGGCACACTTTTGAGCTTAGGATCACCGTACATACCCGAAATCGATGAAAAGGAAGGCGAAGAAGAGAAAGTTAGCCATGAAGTTACGGAACTGAAAACCGGGGCTACTGAGGATCATACTGTTGTGGAGAGATATGCTGGTGATGATGATTTTGTCATAGAAAGACATGCAGGGAAGAGGAGGGGTATAGTTGAGGATGCTGAGGAGAAAGTTAGTTTGGTGGATAATGATGTCAGTGAAGTCGAGGAAAATGTTGGTTCTGTTCCTTATAAACTGTTGGTGAATGATGATTTGGATCCTAGGGATATTCATACCGAGTATCATACTGTTGTGGAGAGATATGCTGGTGATGATGATTTTGTCATAGAAAGACATGCAGGGAAGAGGAGGGGTATAGTTGAGGATGCTGAGGAGAAAGCTAGTTTGGTGGATAATGATGTCAGTGAAGTCGAGGAAAATGTTGGTTCTGTTCCTTATAAACTGTTGGTGAATGATGATTTGGATCCTAGGGATATTCATAGTGAGGATGGAGTGATTGATGAGGCTGAGGGATCATCGAATGATTCATTGGTGAAGAAGAGGGAAATCCTGGAGGAGATTCTAGGGAGTGAAGATCTGTTGAGTATGGCGGAGGCATCAGATGATCATCATGTTTTGGAAGATAAGTTAGAGATGGGAATCTTGAAGTGGAAGATCATAAACTCAAAGATCTCAGTGATGATCAAAGGGTTGAGCAATTCGATTCTTCTCTGATGTTCGCTTGGAAACGCGCAGTGGATGATGAGGATTATAGTGATGGTGTTGTTGACGATGAATCATTGGATTCTGGTTCTGGTGGTGCCGAGAGTTCATCTCCTGATGCTTCAGTGGATGATATAATTCTGATGCTTGATGAGTTGCATCCACTTTTGGGCTCTGAAGCTCCTCAACCAGCACAGTTGTTTGATGATGGTTCAGATGCTGCCTCAGAGAGGTCTCATGGTAGTAATAATGATGGAACTGTGGAGTCCGATGAGTTAGAAAACAAGGAGGAAGATAATGATGAGGATGACAAAGAAGAAGAAGGAGCAAAGGGAGATAAAGAGGACAAATGTAAATCTGCAATTAAATGGACAGAAGATGATCAGAAGAATCTCATGGATTTGGGGACTTCCGATCTCGAAAGAAACCAACGATTGCATAATCTTATTGCGAGGAGAAGGGCACGTAAAAGCATGGGATTGATGATTGAGAAGAATCTAATAGACTTGGATAGCGTTGATATTCCCTTAAACATCACCCCAATTTCTGTAACTAGGCGAAATCCATTTGAATTTCCTTATGATTCCTATGATGACCTTGGGTTACCTCCCATTCCAGGGTCAGCTCCCACTATTTTGCAACCAAGAAGAAATCCTTTCGATCTTCCTTATGATTCGGGCGAGGAAAAACCTGATCTTAAAGGAGATAGTTTCCAAGAGGAGATTGCAGGTTTTAATCGAATGGAAACAGTTCCCCAAAGAGAAGCTTTCTTACGAAGACATAAAAGCTTCAACGTGGAACCGTCATCTTTGGGTGTTACTCGGAAAGAGCTCAAGTGGAAACCATACTTTGTCCTCGAGACTGAAGGATCTAGACCTTCTTCATTCCAAAGGCAGTTTAGTGACGTTAGTGAGTCGAAGTTGAGTTCTGTTCCTGATACTGAATCAGTGAGTTCAGTTGTGGATGAGGAAGACAGCAAGTCATGTGAGCAAGATATTTCTCAAGAAACTGAATTGATGGCGAATGAAGTTCATGCTTCTTCCCATGATGAACAAGAGAGTCTATCGTCTAGGGACGTTGAGCCTGCGGATGTTGAACAAGTTGGGAATAGAGTTGTTCACCGTGAGGTGGTTGAGATCACATTGGGAGATGGAGAAAGTCAGTTGGAAATGGAATTAAATTTGCCTGAAGCTGGAGCATCTGCTCATGTGGAGCTCAATGGAATTGAAATCAAACCAATGCCTCAGGTTGGCCAAGCTGAGAATAGAGATGTTCATCATGATATTGTTGCGATCGAATCGGGAGATGGAGAAAATCAGCAGGAAACAGAATCAAATTTGTCTAAAGCTAGAGCAACGTCTCACGTGGAACTCAATCCTAGTGAAATTCATCCCAAAACAAAGTCAGTTGACGAGGATTTTGGCAGTGGGTCAAGTTTTTCATTATCAGAAATAGATGAAAAGATATTGGATGCCCGTGGAGAGGGATCTGCAGGTTTTGAATCCAGAGATCATGAAATTAATGAATCTGGCATATTTTCACAACCATCATTTGAGGGATCAGAATTCCATTTTACAGGTAAGGTGGTAGATGATAAGCATAGTGAGCCTATATATGATTCAAGTCCATCAGTCGAGAAGGCCCTCTCGGTTTCATCTGTATCTTCGGACGGACAAGCTGGTACATCTGAAATGGGTGCATCTTCAATGTTGGTTGAGTCAACTGATAAGGAACCTGAAGGGCATGCTGAAACAACTGAGCAGGGTGTTTCTAGTTTCCAAAAGATGCATGATGAATTATCGGATTTAGTTGAAAATAAGCCAAGGGCGAGGGAAATCCCAGAGATTAGTGAGCATGTTGTTACACAGGCTGGTTCATTATCGGTTTCTACCACTTTTTCTGATCATAATGTGTCAGTGGTGCCTGAATCTGTGGTTAAATATGTTTCAAGAGATGTGGTGTCATCATCCTCTGATGAGGGATCGAAGGATGGTGTCCCAAATAAGGAAGAAAGCTTTATCCAGAATCAAGTGGACTTCCTTGGCATAGGGATGACTCTTGCTGGTGACCAAGGAATTGGTAAGATGTTGGATTCTTCACCAGAGGAACAACAACAACTAATGAACCGCAATGAGTCTTCTGAGGCCGAACGAGGAGATAGGCGTGCAGTTCATAAGGAAGACACTCAGCTTGAGCAAGATGAAATTCATTCGTCAAGTTCATCAGAGCATGACTTAGTTGGGGATGGTGTTCGACCTAAAGAAGATATCATCCAGACTGATTGCGATCAAATGCATTTGTCAAACTTTGATGCAAGTATTGATGCTGATGGCCGCCGTGATGAGGGTGAGGAGTTTTCTTCCACAGCTTTGACTCACCAGCATATGCCTTCCAATGATGCAAGTTCATCCAAAGCAGAGGAATCTTATCACAGAGTGGTTGCTCAAGTTTCACAAGTTGACCCTTCGGAGGCTATCCTCGTGGAGGTGCGTAGGAATGAATCTGAAATGGATCAAGTCCAACCAACATGTTTTGATTCAAAGATTGATAATGGTCTTGACCGCGATAGGAATTTGGAGAGAATTTCTTCAAACTCTAATTATCAAGCTATGCCTTCTAGAGAAAACCCTTCACCAGAATTGGAGAATCAGCTGTTGGGGTCAGATGATGAACCACCCATTGATGAGCACGTTAAGCTGGAGGTAAGTTACACAAGCATTTCTTATAATTGTTTAAATTTCTTCCCACGGATGAATTTTCATACTTCTTTGAAGAGTAACCGTGTCGATTATTTTTCATGTTTTGTCTTCATATATTTATTTCATTTATCAAATACCAGATGCTTATTTTGATCTCATCAGATCAAGTTTTCCTGTTGTGAATTTGGTAGGAGTAAAATGATAACCCATCCTGTTTTTCAGATTCTTTTGCTGTGTAAGTCTATCAGCAAAAGAAAATAATAGTTGAAAGCAATGATATTATTTTTTAGTCTGAGTAATCATGTTGAAGTAATCATAGTTACAGAGAATTAAACATGGGGCTGGGAGATTGATGACCCAATATGAAGTTTTCTTATCGCATGTACGCTTAAATACTGTGCTGTTTAACCTATTTAACACGTTATTTATTTGAATTTCCTTGGATATCTGAATTTTTCAGGAGTTAGATTGTTTGCTTTCTTTGGTTTCATATTCATCCTTTTTCATCTAGCATGCTTGATAGAACAATGTTCTCTGCATTTTACACGATCTATCTCAGATTTTATGGTATTTATGTACCCTTAGTATAATTAAAATGGTGACATGAAACTATGGCAACCCTTATTCAGGAACTGTCTATTATTGCAACAGAGTCTGAACGGGAAGTAGACATTGGCAACAATGATCTTAATGTACACATAGTTCTGGAGTCTGACGACAAACTTTCAACAGTTTACTCTTCCATGATTTCAGACTCTGCTTCTTCTACGTCTGAGAGTTTTGAACATATGTTGCCAACAGATCAAGAAGACTTGAAGGGCTGGATCCTAAATGAAATGGAAAGCGAGGGCGGCCCTCAAAAGGTATCCAAACACTTTAATCATGCAGCAGAAGCATATGCCACTTATGAAGTTGAGGAAAATATCAGTGAAGAAGATGACAAGATTAGAGAGATAGATGAAGGAATCCTCTATGAGTTGGATACCGTTGGGGACTTCAATGTCAAGAAAATTGATCTACAAGAGGGCGGCCATCATGTTTTTTGACCGGTAGTCATGGCTTTTTCTTTTTTCAAAGCATGATTTTTTTCTCCTCTCTCCTCCCTTTTTTTGTTATGTTTGTGTCTTCCAAGTGATTCGGTCTGAGATTTATGATTGATTTTGATACTGGAATATATTTTGTGTAAAGTTATATACATTGGTTATTTTTGGTTCTTTTTTCAACATTTTTTCACTCTTGAAAAATAAATTATAGTAATAATTATACTTAGTATAACATTATATTCTTATACTATAAACTAATTTTCGTTTTATTTTATTGTATATTTTCCCACAACTATCTATTGTATTGTATGACATAATTAGAGATTATCCCACGACATGAAAAATAAACAATTAAATTGAAAATTTTAAAATTAAAAATAATAATAATCTAATTTTTTTTAAAATCTCAAGTTTTTTTATGAACTTTTTTTAGGTCTTATCATTTTTTATACTTTTTATATTTCCAATAATTTTATTTTTTTATTATTTTAGAAAATAAATTAAACAGAAGTTATAGTTTTTCTCAAAATATAAGTTCAAAAAATAAATTATTAAAAATATGCAGTTTTTAGTATTTTAATGAATTTTTAAAGTTTTTAAAAAGTATAAATTCATAAAAATGCAAAAACCTGAAAACTATAGAAAAATCAAAAAATTATTTTCAAAAGAAATCTGTTTTTTTAGTTTTCAACTATTCTTTTATTTTGTTAATAATTCTATGAAATTTTATTTTTTTAAAAATTAACCATACTTATAATTTTTAAAATTATAAATTCAAAACATAATTTTAAAAATTAGATATAATTTTTTTATTTTTTGATATATTTAGGATTATCTTTTTTATAATTTGTTTATTTTGATATTATTAATATAACCCATTATATATTTTGATTGGTCAAACAATCTTTAAAATAAATACTAGTGAGAGGTAAATATAACTGGGGATAAAAATATAGAGAGAGAAAATGAGAATTATACGTAATATTATATAAAGTCTAATAATTAATAAAACAAAATGTAAAATAATAATAATAATAATTTGGGGTTCTAAATTTTTTAGGGGTTTTCGCTATCTTGACCAAAATTTCTGTCTAGTAGTCCTTATTTTTCTACTGCTGGAAGCAATACCAGGTTCGTTCTTTGTTTCTTATCATAATTGACTTCTTGTTTGTTATCTCTCCGCTTTGGAAACTTATATGGATTTTTTCGCCAGCTGGAAACCTTAGGGTTTCGAATTGTTTTTAGCAAACTTAAGTAGAAATGGAATTCAAAATTTGAAATCTTCTAAACTGATATCTGTTAGAATTTTGATATTGGGCACAGCTGAGAGTTCATTTTTTTCCCCCTGATAGTTCGTTCGTAGTTTTAATTTATTTATTTTTATATGTATCAGCTTTTAAATTTAATAATTTTAGTTTTAAATATTTCTAATTAGTTCTACTGAGAAATTTTACTTGTGAAAAGGTCTTATAGTTGGAGAGATTCGTATGAATGTTTTTGAACTGTAGAAGAAATGTTAAAGAAGTCAATGATTCCATGGACTGAGGTTTGAAATTGGAGAAGGCCTTAGCTTGTTAAGTCATGGAGAAATGGAAGTTATGGTTGAAATTTGGTTTTAAACTGACTCTACTGTGAGTAATAATTTGTTAGACTGATGCCAAGGTATTCATGGGATTTAGGGTGAAGTGTAAATTTGTTTGAGAAAGGATTTGAGCTTATCCTGCTGTATTTATCAGTGAAAGAGGTGAAGGAAACCAGCAATACATGCAAAATCTCATTTCTGGTAAAAAAAATTGAGTAGTTATCTTTTCTATAAAAAAAATCTTGGTGTGTGAAAATAAATTTTGTTGGACACATTAAAATAGTCTGGGGAAGAGTGTCGAAATTTTACTACTTGTGGGTTTTCAGTGGTGAGGACTAGATGAGGGACTTAATGATTTATAGCTGTTGTAGGTATAAGGTTAGGTTTTCCAGATCATTTAACGATTGGATTAATTGAGATTTTATCTCAAGAGAAGGATAAACATAAGGAAACTTTAAGTGTTCAATAGATAGTTTTGGCTAGTGGGAATTGATATGAAGATATGTGGCAAGAATTAGGCTTCAAAGTAAGAAGAAGGAATGTAGTTAGGTCGCAAAGAAGGGAAATAACTCTAGATACTGTGGTACGAAAGAAGAGTTTGAAGTAGGGAGAACTCAATCACAAATTTCTAAGAATACTCAATAACTCAAATTTTCTTTAAAATTTAAATTAGTTTTTTTTCAAGATTGGCAATTGTAAGAGATATAGACAAATTATCTTTTCTCCTTCTTTGACTAGTAAAAGGATTTATAAAATCATTATGCTTTGCTATAAAACTCAAGTAATATAAACTAAGGACTATATGTTGCAGCTGAATTAAACAGAAAATAAGACTCAATGAACCATGGCCGAGGTCCATGCTAGCAAACAAAAAATAATGCTAAACTCAAAAACTCTAGCTAAGTGATAAATGCTTACATCAACTTTTTTATCTATTAGATGCACTTTACCTTGGACAAATTGATTTTCTTGATGAAAAGGGCATGAGCTCCTCTTTTGGCTTCCTAAGAGTCTAAGACAATAGATTTTATCAAACCAAGCTACTGGTCGCTATTGGAAAGTGATGTTGTTACCTCAGATGTCCTTGGGCATATCATTCATAATGAATGCAAGTTGTTTTGTTATGACTACAATATGTTTTCTTTTGCAACCAGAATGTTATGGATGCAGCAAAGAAATTCCCGCTTGTTTTTGAATACCGAACTCAAATGATTTGCTACAAAGTTAATATCCTTTAAATGAGAATCTAATATGTATCATGGTCAAGTGCGCTTCAAGAATCATAAATTTTTATTTTTCCCCTTAAAATTCTAGACTTTCAATAGGGAACTACCTTTTGAGCTAGCCCTGATGATGGCCACTATGGAAAAATGGGATGGTTATTTTGATGCTGTTACCATCGATGTAAAATGATATGATGCAAATAGGCTGTGAATGCTTGGAGCATGGGCTTTGAATTGAGTTTAATGGTTGACTTAACCCTTAACAAACCTGATTATATGGGATCTTAGGTGTTCTCAGTTTTTATTTGACATAGGAAATTAATAGCTATTTTTTTGGTCCGTCAGAAGATATTTGTGTTTAAGAATGATAAGGAAAATTTGTGATATAAATGTTGGTGAAAGGGTCAATGTAACCTGAATCATCAGAGAAATATCTTGTAATTTGTCTCTCTGAACAATATATGAATTATTCTGCCTGCGTCAATGTTTCCATGAAATATAAGGAGCTTTCTTGTTTTATTCATTTCAAACTACTAGAAGATGTTTGAATAGTTAGCTTACCTTTTTTTTACTATGCTTCCCTCTGCTGCCTTTTCCCTTTCCCTTCTAAATTCGTGCAACTAAAAGGGCTTACTGCAGGCTATGTGAAAGCTTGTTAAGCAGCAAGATGAGCAATGATGCTTTTGATGAAAAGATACTAACCGATAAGCTGTCAAAACTCAACAATTCACAGCAAAGCATTGAATGTATCCTACAATTTCATTATTATTTCGGGATTTTTGTTATTTCTCATTTCCATTAGTGTTATAAAATTACATTAACATTCTTGATTACTGGAATCTAGTTCTAAAGTTCATAATTGAAGAGGTGGATTTTTCTGTTTATCTTGTTTTCATTTAGATAAGCATTTATCTAACTGTGTAAACATGTAAATTACATGTAGATTTGATTGAGATTTTATCCTGTATCTTTTCCCTCTTGGTGCACCATGCATATGTTTTTTTTATGATGTAAGGTGATGTGGCACTTCTAGATTTATCATGTTATGATTCCCTTACTGTATCCATATGTTTTTGTCATTTTCTTATGCATGAAATTAGTATTGGATGACTGTACCAGCGTTCTGCATAGAAACTTTTGTAAAAATCATCGTAACATATTTTTTGTTATTGGAGCTATTGATTTGGTTGTTTTAATTTTTATCACTTGCTTTATTTCTTTACACTTCACTAATATTGTTCTATTTGTGAATCATGCATTTTTGGGACAATTTTCACATAGCTATGCTGGCTTTAGCTGTTTTGCTTTGGACCTATGGCTATCTATCTTAGATGGTCATCATTTGCTTCATCAGTATTCTATTGTTTTCCACTAGCAGTAACTTTTAACTATTTATACAGAATGGCTGGCATGAAGTAGGTGCCCGTGTTTAATTTTTTCTTCAATGGTCATCTTCATTGAAATATAAGGAATGGTGTGGATGGTTTCTTCTGTAGCACTTTTGAAATTAGTTTGGACATCATCTCTAACTAATCTTGTTGGTTGGTTTGATGCATTTTCTTTTAAAATGCTGCAATTGATGGTAGAATGGGATAATTGATGAAAGTGTTGTGTTTTTAGTAACATTTTATATTTCTTTTTGAACTCTAGGATTGTTTTAGATTCTTTTGTATGTAGTTTCTTCAGTTTTAGTTCACAAGTTATTTATTATTAGGACTTTTTCTTTTGGAACATTTAGTACCATGATTTGGAGGTCTTACAGAATTTAACTTTTATCTTGTTGGATTTTTTTGTTTTAAAGTGAAAGTGAGGTTTGATTGCAAATTTAAGCCTTTTTCTTTACCTAAGTTCCATTTCTTGTGGCATTTGAAATATTACTTTATCAGATGCTAAACTCATGTCATTTAAATTGAAAGTATAATAAATTTATGTAAATTGTTTCTATCAAAAAAAAAAATTTATGTAAATTGTCAGAAACTCTGATTTTCCTTTGTGAGGTCTTAATCATAACGTCTCAAGCCTTAAATTAGATTGATTCTTTAGGAATTTTTTGGTGATGTTGATGTTATTGGCTGTTTATTTTGCTGAAGAACAGTAATTGATTTTTTTTAAATTACTTTGGGTCTGTTTAGTTGATTTGTCTCCAACCAAATGTCTTATAATTTGCATATAGTAATGTAATCCTTTGAAG